TTCTTCTCATGTTATGTTGGTCATTGTGTGTAGATTTTCACAAATTCAGACAAGGCACATGCCGCTAGTGTGCTCGGGAAGCTTGGAATAGAGGACTGCTTTGAGACGATTATATGCTTCGAGACTCTGAATCCCACTGACAATGCTGATGATTCTGTTGGTGCCGAAGAAACTGAAAATATTGAACAACCAAATACTGGTTCTGTTATTCCAAAGACCCCAGTTGTGTGCAAACCGTTTGAGCATGCGTATGAAGAAACTTTCAAGATTGCAAACATCAACCCCAAAAGAACGGTAAGAATTTTTTTTATATTTTAACTACGGCAATTGACTTTGCCATAGGTCTCATAATTGGCAGGGTACTGTTTGAATAATAGGGTGTATACTATTTCTTAGCACTGTTCAATTCATTTTGTATACTTTTACTTGTCTTCAACATTCTTCAATTCGTTTTGTGATTTCATTTTCGTTTCCAGTTATTCTTCGACGATAGCATTCGCAATTTGCAAACTGCAAAGGAGTTGGGGCTCCATACAGTAATGGTAAGTTACTAATACCAAGTTTGTGCAATTAACATTTTGCTGTATCTGAGAAATGATCTAAGGATATCATTCTCACCAATATGGTTTATGAAATTGTTGTGTAGATTGGCACATCTCACCGAACTAAAGGTGCGGATCATGCATTTGAGAGCATCCATAATATCAAGGAAGCATTGCCAGAACTCTGGGAAACCACTGAACAGTGTGAAAATGTTCGATATTCGCGAGAGATTGCAATCGAACAGCCAGTACAAGCTTAGGCCATTTTTAAGTTATCTGAAATGTTGCTGCATTCATTACAGGCAACCATATGGCTGATGAGTTTTCTTATTTGTTTATGTGATTTTCTCGTACATTGGAATTGTAGAATTGTATTATATATGTAAGCTTAATCAAGCAATACTGTTTCTACCATGCTGGAAAGCCCCTTCTTTTCATGACAGTAAAACTGTTTCTACCATATTTATTTTTCACAAAGTCATGTCCATGTTCAGTTTTCTCGTACAGATTGGGTGACGGTTAAGATATGTCACATTCTACAAATGGCTTGTTCTACGTTGCCTAGGCTTTTATGTTCCTTTTCACTTCCAATTTTTTT